CCGTAGGATGTGGGAGGCCTGTGCAACCTGTTTGAAGCTTGTAGTGAATGAGACATCCCTGAGGTTGGGCCTGGCTGGACACAGAGATGTTTCCTGGTGGTCGGGTGGAGAGCCAGCTCAACCACGGTCACTGTGCGAGGTGAGGCCTGGACCTCCGGCTGGCCTTGCCTTTGTTGACCCTGCTGACACCCCAGGACCCTCTTTCCCTCTCCATTGCTTGTGGCTTAGGAGTGCCCACCTTGACCCAGCCCCTGGCCCAGCTTGGCTGTACACCCTCTCTCTATTCTGTTTGACTTTTTTCTTTGTTTTGATTGGGAGAGGGTCTTTTTGGGTGAGACAGGGTCTCAGTCTGTAGCCTAGGCTGGCTTCAGACTTGGCAGTCCTCCAGCCTAACCCTCTCAGCAGCTGAGGTTTCTGGTCTGGCTTTGGTTGGCTTTCCTGTGGATTGTGTGGTTGAGGGGTTAGTGTAGGCAGAGGCTAGCACCACCTGGGTGCTCGCTCTTCCCTCCCAACAGACTCTAGAGATCCTGGGGATAAAGGACAGGAGTGGGGGGGCTGTCATTGTGGAAACCTGCTCCAGGCTTTAGGACTGCTCCATCTCAGTGGCCTGTTTGTAGAAGGCTGGGGACAAAGCTGGCCCGCTGTGACTCACCTCCATTTCCGGGCTTAGTCATTCCCCAGCCCCCTCCCCGCCCCCTCCACCATGGGCTTGGCATCAGAGGACTGGCCCAGTTAGGGGAGGTGACCTCAGCTGAGGAACCTTTCCAGGCTGAGGGGGTGAAGGAAGGGTGAGCCCAGCTAACTTCGGGCCCAGGCCTGGCAGCACCACTGGTGCCCCCTGCATGCCTTGCCCTCATCCTGCTGTTTCCCTGGATCAGATAATTCAGAGTTCCTGGGTTAATAGGATAGGAGGGGGCAGGGGGAGGAGTGGGTGAGTCTGGTGATCCCTTGGCCTGGCTGTATGGGAACAGCATGCCAGCCCCTGTCCTGACTAGGGGGCATGAAGAGGGACCGTGACCGAAGGCCACAGTCCTCTGCGCCTTGAGTGGGCCCTGGGAATGTTAAGCTTTCCCCAGGGAAAGCACAGGTACAGTTTCCGGCCTCCTGCCCCGGAGAACCATGATTTTCAGTCATGATCACTTTAAGGTGTCAGGTAAATTTGGGGACTGAGGAGACAGCTCAGTCAGGAAGGTGCTTGCGGTGGAAGCATGAGGCCCAGAGTTCAATCTTTGCAACCCACATAAAAAGGTGGGTGTGGTGGCACATACCTACAATCTACAATCCCAGCACTGAGGAGGCAGAGCCAGGGAGGTGGTTAGGGCTGGCGCGCACGCGCACACACACACACACACACACACACACACACACACACTGGCACACACGTAAGCACCCTTTGCGCTCTGCCAAAAAGCCATAAAGTAAACTTTTAAAATAAAATACAGATACCCAGGTGCTAGCCCATTCCTGCTGAATGGGTATCTCTGGCCCCAGGAGAATCTAGTCCACAGCCAGTGGCTGAGAACCCAGACCCCAAGGCGTCAGCTCTGAACTCAGGAAATGGAGGGCAGGGCTGAGGAGAATGCTGAGCACTCGGCCAATCCATCTGCTTTGGCCTGGGAGTCTTTCTGTGAATATTATCTGGAGCCAGGCTCTGGGAGATAAGACTTCAGTCTATGCTTGGGTCTATTAAAGTCCCCTGGATTCAATATAGCATCTTGTTTGTGGTGGTGGTGATGGTAGTATGTGTGTGTGCGTGCGTGCACACACACACACACACACACACACGTGAATGAAGGCGTGCACTTGTGTGTGTTCCTGTGCTCCTGCATGCACACACAAAGGCCAGGCGATAGGGTTGTGTGGCCGGTTCTAGGTTCTTTGCCTTATCTCCCTGAAACAGTTTATCTCTCAGAACCTGAGCCTGTCTGGTGGCCAACAGGCCCCAGCAATCCTTCTCTCCCCACCCCCAGCGGTGCTGAGATTACAGGCATGCGCATCACATGGCCGCGGCCGGCTTTGATGTGGGTTCTGGGAATTTACACTCAGGTCCTTACTATTGGGGAGCCTTACTCTCACCTCTGAGCATCTCCCAGTCCTTGTTTTTTTTTTTTTTTTTTTTTTGTTTTGTTTTTGTTTGTTTGTTTAGTTAGTTGGTTTCCGTGAACTCACATTTCTCCTGCCTCAAGTCCCCAAGTGTTCTGATTTGGTTTATGTGTTTGGTTTACACCTTTGTTTTTGTTTATCATTTCTTTTCCTCCTCTGTTAAAACAAAACAAAATCTAAAAAACAAGACACACATAAACCCCAGGGTCTTACTGTGTAGTTGCAGCTGGCATAGAGTTTAACATGTAGGCCAGACAGGCCTCAGACTCCGAGACTGGTATTCCCTGGATCCTGAGTGCTGAGATGAAAGGCATGCACCCCCATGCCTGCCCTTGTTTGTGTTTGTTTTCAAGATTTATTTATTTTTCTTAATTGTGTATGTGGGTGTTGGTGTGTGTATGTGATATGAGTACCTCAGATCCTTCAGAGCTGGTGTTCTGAGTCAGCCTCAAGTGGGTGCTGGGAAACCAACTGGGTTCCCCTGGGAGATCAGTAAGTGCTCCTCACCACGGAGCTGTCTTTCCAGCTCCGTTTGTTTATTTTTAAAACAAAGCCTCATTCTATGGCTCAGGCCAGACTAGAACTCTGTAGCTCAAGCAGGTCTTGAACTCAAAGGCCTTCTTGCCTCAGCCTCTCGGGTGCTAAGATTGCTGGTGTGAGTGGTGGTGCATGCCTTTAAGCCGAGCCCTTGGGAGGCAGAGGTAGGCAGATCTTTGTGAGTTCAAGGCTAAGCCTGGTCTACAGAGTGAGTTCAGGGACAGCCAAGGCTACACAGAGAAACTCTCAAAAAAGCCAAAAAAAAAAAAAAATTGCAAGTTACGCCCATCTTTTTAAAAAGGAAAAAGTGCTGTTGGTCTAGGAGGGAGATTTCTCCTGTGTGAGGAGGAGATCTAGGAAGGCTTCCTTTTCCTAGGGGTAAGGTAGGGAACTTGTCCTTGAATTCAGCTACAAGAGGAAGAGAAGCAGGAGAGGATCCTCACTACAGAGTCAGAGGGAGAGAGAAGAAGGAAGAGAGAAAGAAGGGAGGGACAGCCCGATTCAGGCCAGAGCTTGCAGCTGGGCAAGCAGGCGCCTTGGAGTCATGAGCCATCATGTGGTTGCTGGGAATTGAACTCAGGACCTTTGGAAGAACAGCCAGTGTTCTTAACCTCTGAACCATCCCTCTGCGCCTTAGAGTCATATGACAAACCGAGCATGGGAGCTCACTAAGATAAGGGGGGTGGTTTGGGCAGGGTAGCTCACGCCTGTAATGCCAGCACTCCAGAGGCAGGAGTGACATAGTTCGAGGCTATCTTGGGCTACCTAGTGAAGTGCAGGCTCTGTCTCAAAGAAGAAAGAATGGGGGTGGGGTTGTTGCAGCTAAAGAGATGGTTATCGCACGGGGTGGTGGTGGACGCCTTTAATCCCAACACCTGAGAGGCAAACGCAGCAGATCTCTGAGTTCAAGGCCAGTCTGGTCTACATGGTAAATTCCATACGTAATGCTACATAGAGACACTGTCTCAACAAAAAGGAAAGGGAAGAAGGAGGGAAGTATGCTGTTGTTTGTGCCACTGTGGTTTCGGGTTTTTTGCTTTTTCAATTTGATTTAGTTGCCAATATTAAAAAATGTGGTCGCATCCCATCCAGACACAGATTCCTGGCTCCAGAATCTTTTCTGGGCCCTTTTCCACTCCTGGCTGTCCCCTCCATCTGAGGGTGTGGGCTCTGCGAGGAGTCTGATTCCCTCTCCTACTGTCGCAGCTGTGGTAACCCTTTGGTGTCTTGCCCCTGTAGCGATGTCTCACCCTAGGCTCCTGGAGGGCTGGCCAGCTCGGGCTCTAGGCTTTGAGCTGGCTCTGGCTGAATGCTCCAGGGCAGGAGTCTGCAGGCTATAGTAACCCAGAGGTGCTGGATTGGGCAGCAGGTATCCGTGTAGCCTCCATTCTGGGGGGTGAGGAATGTAGGCGTAGAGCAATCTCAGGCTAGTGCCACCAGGGTCACATAACCGGGAGGTGATGGGGTTGGAACATTATTCCACAGAGCCTGGAGTGTAAGTTCCACTCTGCCCTCCCACTACCCAGGGCGCTAGAAGGAAGCAGGAGGATGGACCCTACAGAGAAGCAGGGCCCAGGAGCCTGGAGACCCGCCACACGGGACTCTTGGAGGCCTTGTTCTGGTGCTCTGGAGGCAGAGGGGTCCCCACCACTCCTCCGCAGGAGCAAGGAACTTGGGTTGCAGCAAATTTTAGGTCAGATAATAGCAGCGTGACTACTTCCCCGATGGCTGGAAGTTTTACATCAATGACCAGGTTGTTGTTGGTCAATCCTGAGCGTTGAGGCTTTAACTTTTTTCTTTCTTTCTTTCTTTCTTTCTTTCTTTCTTTCTTTCTTTCTTTCTTTCTCTCTCTCTCTCTCTCTCTCTCTCTCTCTCTCTTTCTTTCTTTGTATTTACATATGTATGCATCTGTGTAGTTCAGAAGGCAATTGGCTGGAGTTAGTTCTCTGCTTCCACCACGCGGGTGGGTCTCAGGCACAGAACAGTTTGCCAAGCTTGCAGGGCAAACCATTTACCCACTGAGCCATCTCACCAGCCAGCTTCAATGAGACTTGAGTCCCTGGCACTGTGCTTGGGAACTGTGGAAACCGCAGTACGCAATGCTGAGCAAAGGGCCTCCTGCTGGCCTGCCTGGAAGGGGTGCTTGGGGCCCCCAAAGCTTCAAGCAGGTGACAGCGACAATGGTGATGTGGCTTGGTACAGTGACAGCGTGCGGGGGAGGGGAGCTCTGGTTGTGGGTAAGCTCGCAGAGGGCCTCCTACTCTCCTCCCTACCCCCAAGCTCCACCAGTTGGGGGACAGCGCAAGGGACAGGGATGGCACCCCGCAGGGCCAGGCCCAACGCCCTAGGTTTCCCTTCAGGTCTGACGGAGGATGAGGATGTCCAAGCCATGCTGCGGGGCTCCAGGCTCCTCAAGATCCGCTCGCGCACGTGGCACAAGGAGCGGCTGTACCGGCTGCAGGAAGACGGCCTGAGCGTGTGGTTCCAGCGGCGCATCCCGCGCGCGGCCTCGCAGCACGTCTGTGAGTGGGTGAGGGGTGGCGCGGGGGGCGGTGGTGGGGACAGAGCGGGTGGGGCCGGCGGCGGGCGCCGTGACTGCCATCTGACCCTGCCTCGATGACAGTCTTCCTGCAGCACATCGAGGCTGTCCGGGAGGGCCACCAGTCGGAGGGCCTGCGGCGCTACGGGGCCGCCTACGCGCCCGCCCGCTGCCTCACCATCGCCTTCAAGGGCCGCCGCAAGAACCTGGACCTGGCGGCGCCCACTGAGGAGGAGGCGCAGCGCTGGGTGCGGGGGCTGGCCAAGCTGCGGGCACGCCTGGATGCCATGAGCCAGCGGGAGCGCCTAGACCAATATCCTGCCTGCCGGGCTGGAAGGGAGGACCCGGCCTTGGAGAGCTCCTGGCCTTAGACAGCTCCTGGTGCTCCGGAACGGGCATGGGAAGCTCACCCCAGCGTGGCCTGCGCCCCTAAGCGGGAAAGGCACCGTCCAGACTCCAGGGTGAAAACAGAGGGGACCTGCTAATTTGGGGGAGCTAGGCTCTTGCACTGTCAGACACACACACCCCATACCCCCCCCCTCGGGAGGCTAAGAAGGATTTACACTCCCTAATCCTGGAGCACCCCTCCCCCGCCCGTCCCCCCCTCCCTGGGACTCTCAGTGCAGGCCAAGGGGTCTACTCTATCGCTGGTATTTCCTGAGCGCACACACCTGGATCCATTCCTACCTGCACCGCGCCGACTCGGACCAGGACAGTAAGATGAGCTTCAAGGAGATCAAGAGCCTGCTCAGGATGGTCAATGTGGACATGAATGACATGTATGCCTACCGCCTCTTCAAGGTGAGCTCGGGGCCCGGCCTTGCTCTGCTCTGCCCTCCCCCAGCGTCCAAAGCATTAGTTCTATCCGAGTTTGTTGTTGTTGTTATTATTATTATTTATTTTAGACAGGATCTCACTATGCGACCCCGGTTAGCCTGGAATTTGTGATCCTCCTGCCTCAGCTTCCGGAATAGCTGGCATTTCTGGGCCCAGCTACCTCTCCAGCTTTTTTGTAGGCAACACGGGAACCTAGTTAATCAGTTGTGTCTAGCCAGGTGTGGTGGCACACCCTTAATCCCAGGACTCTGGAGGCAGGGGCCTGCAGGGAACTCTGTTGGGAGTTTGAGGCCAGTCTAATTTCTGCAGCAAGTTCTAGGCCTGCGAAGGCCACACAGGAAGAGCCTGTCTTGAAACAAATAGAAATCCCTTCCCATTCCCTGGAGTTTCCGGACCAGAACTTTAAGGGACGCCTCTAGGCAGAGCTCAGAGGTAGGGTGCACCTTCAGAGCCCTCTAGTCTGAGCAGCAAAGCCACGCACGTCTGCAGGGCGCCACCTGTACCTGTGACTGTGTGTGTGGCTTGCACACGGAAGCACAGGCAGATACGTGGGAGCGCACAGGTGTATAGGATCCTCCACAGCGAAGGACCCCTGGCCCACACGCCTCTTTCCTGTGCCCGGGCGGGAGCTCTGGGGTGCAAAGGTGACTACGTCTGCACGTTGGGGGACATGACAGAGACATGTGGAGGCCGGGTGTGACCAGCCCGTGCCAGTGCTCAGCCCACCTGAGAACTGAGAACTTATTTCATTCATTTCTGCTCACTGGGTGTGTCTCAGGATACAGGGGTGGGGGTATTGTGGCACAAGTCTTGCTTCCCAAGGCCACGGTCTCATCCCAGATCCTGTTCTGAGTCCTCGGGGTAGGCCAAGACAGTTGGGGTCTCTGAGAGGCTTCCTAAGACTATCCCTTGAGCCCAGGGGTGTGGGCTCAAGGAACTGGAGTGTTGTGAAACAGGGTTGCTGCCTTTCCAGCCGTGTGTCAATCAGGTGTCCCCCACTCCCCAGGAATGCGACCATTCCAACAATGAGCGTCTGGAGGGGGCCGAGATCGAGGCATTCCTACGGAGGCTGCTGAAACGGCCTGAGCTGGAGGAGATCTTCCACCGGTACTCAGGAGAGGACCACGTGCTGAGCGCCTCTGAGCTGCTGGAGTTCCTGGAAGACCAGGGAGAGGATGGTGTCACCCTGGCCTGTGCCCAGCAGCTCATCCAGGCCTATGAGCTCAACGAGACAGGTGAGTCCTGATTCCACGCAGCTCTGGGTTTCTAGCCAGGAAGTTCTGCCATCCCTTGCCCGTCCCGGGCAGGTGCTTCCCGGTCTCCTCTTCCAGGTCTCACAGCCACACCTGTAAAATGGCACTATATTTATGTCGGCCCCTCTGGGTTCCTCCCGTGGAGCGGGCACGCAGTCACTCAGCAGCCGCAGTCGGTTTTTGAGCCTGGACATGTGCCCCGACCCCAGGCAGCCCCGCCCTCTCCTCTTCCTTGTAGCCAAGCAGCACGAACTGATGACTCTGGATGGCTTCATGATGTACCTGTTGTCTCCTGAGGGAGCTGCCCTGAACGTGGCCCACACGTGTGTGTTCCAGGACATGAGACAGCCCCTTGCCCACTACTTCATCTCCTCCTCTCACAACACCTATCTGACTGACTCTCAGATCGGAGGGACCAGCAGCACGGAGGCCTACGTTAGGTACGGCGGCGGCGGGGGTGAGGTCGTGGGGCTCTGCTCTGGGTTTCCTGGCCCAGCCTGGCCGCCGCCCCGCTCAGTGCCACACCCACATCTTGCCCCGGCCGTCTGTCTGTCCGCTGGCTGTAGGGCCTTCGCGCAGGGATGCCGCTGTGTGGAACTTGACTGCTGGGAAGGGCCAGGCGGGGAGCCCATTATCTACCACGGCCACACACTCACCTCCAAGATCCTCTTTCGAGACGTGATCCAGGCTGTGCGTGACCACGCTTTCACGGTGAGCCCCTGGAACCTAATGCCCAGCCCTGGGGCCTTCCTAGTGACCCTGTGTCCCCCCCCCCCCCCATAGTCAGAACATTCGTTCCCCCTGGTGCTGTGGGGAATGAGAGGAGGGTAAGGTACAGCTGATCTGGGGGCTCCTCCCCACCGCCCTCACAGCTAACACATGTGCTGATGTCAGCAAATCTCCAGAAGAAAACCTTGGGGCTTAGGAAAGGATAGCTTAGTCTGAACGTACAGCCAAGCCAGGATCGGTGATGGGGGCACACGCATACGCTTTGCAGCCATCAGGGTACCCAGCCTCACCAAAGATGGCATCTGCAACATCCCCGGCTTGGTGAAGGCTGTGAATCACGAACATCATTTAAGTCCACCCTTTCCCCGAGACCCAGCCCCTGACCACTTCCACACATCCTGGTACCAGTATGTCTCGTACCTTACAGACTCGGGATGGGTTTTTTCAAAGCCCTGCCTTTGCCTGCCTGCCTTGAAAGACTTGGAGCCCGTGTGTAGGAGAGGGACCAGCAGAGGGTGAATTCTGAGCTGTTACCTGTTGTCCCCACCCCTGCCCACAGTTGTCCCCGTATCCTGTTATCCTATCCCTTGAGAACCACTGCGGGCTGGAGCAGCAGGCTGTCATGGCCCACCACCTTCGAAGCATCCTGGGAGACATGCTGGTGACGGAAGCCCTGGACCCCCAGAACCCTGAGGAACTGCCTTCTCCTGAGGTGATGCTCCTGGACCCACAGCCTGGGAGGTTGGGTCAGTCTCTGCCTGGGATGCACCGGCCTCACTCATACCACTGCTCTGGTTCAGGATCGCTCCTCTCTTTCTGCCTGGACCTTTTCCTGCTCAGTGTAGCTGACATCTGCCACCCAACTATCCTTTTGGCTACCCTCTGGTTCGTCATTCTTTTTTCCTTTTTTATTTTTAGTGGTTTATTTTTATTTCATGTGCATTGGTGTCCTGCCTGCATGTGTATCTGTGTGAGGTGTCAGATCACTTGGAGCTGAGTTACAGGCAGCCACTTGGTTGCACGGATCCTTTAGAAGAGCAGCCAATGCACTTTATCGACTGATCCACCTCTCCAGCCCCAGGCTCCTCATTCTTGACTAGACCCAGACCACTTACTGGGCTTTCTGTGTTAGCTCTGCCGGGCCTGGTTTGTGTCCCTTGTAGTGTCTCTTTAGGCCCACAGTCACTTCCACATCCATGTCCTGAGCTGACATTTCCTCGCCCTAGATCTCCCTTCCCAGCCATCTGCTCTGGCCAGCTGCCACTGCTTAGGACCGAAGATAAGTAGGACTTGGATTGTAGGGCTCAACAGTTCAGTGGTTACCCAGCATGCATGAGGCCGCATGCACCCGAGTTTGTGTGTGTGTGTGTGTGTGTGTGTGTGTGTGTGTGTAGGGGCATGGGACTTGCTCCTCACTTATCCCACCCACACTGGTTCCCTAGAAATATGTGACTTTTCCATATACCCACACCTGTGCACAAGATGACTTTCTCACGCGTTTACTGTTGCCGTTATTTTTGAGACAGGATCTTTTATAACCCAGGTTGGCCTCTTTTAGGTAGCCAAGGATGACCTTGAACTTCTGATCCTCTCGCTTCCATCTCAGTGACAGGATCACAGGCGCGTGCGCGCGCGTGTGTGTGTGTGTGTGTGTGTGTGTGTGTGTGTTGCCATTCCTGTTGCTTCCCGGCCTCTACAGTGCTGAGGATAGAACCCAGGACTTTGTGCATGCCAGGCGAGCACTCTGTCAGCTGAGCTACCATCCCAGCCACGACTGGCTGGTGTTCTTGAGCCCAAGCTGGCCATGAATTTGATATTCAGAAGGTCGTGAAACATATGTCTTTACTGAGACAGAAGGATTAAGAGATGGAGGCTCAAACCAGGAAGAATGGCACGTGCCTGCAATCCAAGCCCACGGGAGGGGGAGGCAGGAGGATCTTGAGTTCAGAGTTAACTTTGCCTAGCGTGAGGCCCACATGGGCTACCTAAGACTGTCTCAGAAACAGTGCAAAAGGGTGGTGTGGTGATATGCGCCACAGTCATTCCTTCCATAAGAGATATTTCCGGACCAGGCAGTGGCTGCATAGATGCCTGTGATCCCAGCACTCAGGAGGCCCAGGCAGGCAGATCTCTGTGAGTTCAAGCCCAGTTGGTCTACAAAGCCAGTCCAGGACAGCCAGGGCTACCCAGAGAAACCCTGTCTCAAAAAGGGCTGCTGTGTGGGCATTCTGAGAAATGACACCTTTTTAGCCACCACCTACCAATGGCCTTGCAGTGGGATCACTTGTTCTTGTTAGAAACATCACTCCCATCTCTCACGGGCCCCCTCACCTACCAGCCGCTCTCACAGTGGTGGCTGACTGCCTGGCTGAAGGGCCACCTGAGGGCTTCACTTGTCTAACCCTGGCCTCTGCAGCGGCTGAAGGGCCGGGTCTTGGTGAAGGGGAAGAAGCTGCCAGCTGCTCGGAATGAGGACGGCCGACTTTTGTCAGACAGGGAGGATGAAGATGATGAGGAAGAGGAGGCAGAAGAAGCATTGGAGGCTGCAGAGCAGAGGAGGAGAGTGAGTGTGCAGTGTGGGCTGGGTCCACAAGCTGGCCCCTGCTGCAGGGTGGGGGTGGTGTGGAGGGGCAGGGAAGGCTGGGAAGGGAAGGGAGGTGGGAGGGTGGTGGATCTTGAGCGAGGTGATTCCTACTGGTTTCCCAGGCCAAGCAGATCTCTCCAGAGCTCTCGGCATTGGCTGTGTACTGCTGTGCCACTCGCCTGCGGACCCTGAACCCCGGTTCTTGCCCATCCCAGCCCTGCAAGGTCGGCTCCCTCAGCGAGCGCAGGGCCAGGAAGTTCGCCAGGGAGGCAGGTAGGAGCCAGACTCTGAGTATCTGGAGCCAGGAGGGCATGGAGCCCTGCAGGTTCTGGGAGCTAGCTGGGTACCTTGAAGTTGTTTTGAAGACGTGGGAGGGCTTTAGGGGCACTGAGGGCATCAGGAGGACCAAGGAAAGACACTGCCTGGAGAATGAGAGCTAGGTGTGGCTGGAGAGCCACAGATGGGAGAGGCTTGGGGTTGCCTTCATCACACTCAGCACCTAGTGGTAGTCAAGGTATTGGCAAGCCAGTCAGGCCAGTGCCAGAGGCTGGCAGAGCCTGGAGGGTATGAGACTAGGGAGGCTTCCTGGAGCATCCTATGCCTGAGAAGACATCATTGCAGAGGAAGGAGGAAGCAGAAGGAGGAAAGGACTCTTGAGAGGAGGAACAGGTTATGCGAAGGCCCAGCGGCATGCCAATTGCAACAGTTCCAGGAACCCAAGGCATGGCTAGGGATGTGGGCAGGATGAGTGACACAGACTGGCCACCTAGGGTCAGGTGTTCAGTGTAGGCAGCCAAGAGTGTGGGCATTAGGAATGTAGTGTCAGGCTGGCTGGCTGCCAGGTGTCCTTGCCTCTCTCAGGTCCTCAGCCAACTCTTCTTTCTCAGCTCACCCTAGGTAAAGGGAGGCGGGGGTGGGGCGGCGGCTACAGGCCCTGGAACTGGGCCAGGGACAGAAGCCTGGGTCCCATCACAGGACTAACTCTGCCCTAGGAACCAGCTTTGTCAGGCACAACACTCAGCAGCTGACCCGAGTGTACCCACTGGGGCTTCGGATGACCTCAGCCAACTATAATCCCCAGGAGATGTGGAACTCAGGCTGTCAGCTGGGTGAGCAGGGCTGTGAACAGGGGGGTCGCCGGGTGGGGATGGGCCCTTCAGCAGGGAGAAGCCACACAGCTTTCTAGAAGGGGGGACATGTGTGAAAGGTAGGTTCATTTGTTCTAGGCAATATGAACGTTACTTCTTGTTTTGTTGTGAGACGAAGTCTTTCTTTGTAGCCCTGACTGAGGTCAAACTCACCTGCCTCTGCCTGTCCAGGGCTGGGATTAAAGGTGTGCACACCAGGCTCAGCAAAAACTGTATTTTTCCTTTTCTTTCTTTTTATTGAGACAAAGTCTCTCACTATCCTATAATTTACTAGGTAGACCAGACTAGTTTCACAAAGATTCGCTTGCTTCTGTCTCCGGACTTCTGTGGTTAAAGGCATGTGCCATAATGCCGGGCTGAAAGTTATACGTCTGTGTGAGGTATCAGCCTGTAATCCTAGTACTTGGGAGGTAGGAGACAGGAGAAATCATCCTTGACTACTTAATGAATCTGTTGGCCAGCCTGGGTCAGACAGTCTCAAAATACCTAAAGGAAAGTTACTTTTGTTTCAAGGTGTGCATGTGTGTGTGTGTGTGTGTGTGTGTGTGTGTGTGTGTGTGTGTGTATGTGCGTGTGTGCTCCTATTCATGTGTGCATGTATGTAGGCTAGAGATCAACACTTGGTATCTTTTTAAAAATTATTTATTTTCTGTGAGTGCTCTGTCTGCATGTTCACCTGCATGCCAGAAACGGGCATCAGATCACTTTATAGATGGTTGCGAGCAACCATGTGGTCACTGGGAATTGAACTCAGAACCTCTGGAAAGCAGCCAGTGCTCTTAACCACTGAGCCATCTCTCCAGCTCTGGGTATCTTTTTTGAGACAGGGTTTCTCTGTGTATCCTTGATGAGTCATGGACTTGCTATGTAGAGCAGGCTGACCTCGAACTCAGAGATCCACCTGCCTCTGCCTCCTGAGTGCTGGGATTAACAGCGTGCACCAACTTGCAAAGATACCCAAGATAATATTGGGTATCTTTATAGCTCTCCACTTTTTTTTTAGGATATGTATATGACTGTTGACATGTGAGCATACATGCCTATGTAGGTCCAAGAGGGCACAGGAGTTACAGACAGTTGTGGGATACCCTATGGATTCTGGGAACTGAACTCACTTCCTCTCTCCTCGGCTGCTAAGAGCCATCTCTAGCCACCTCTACCTTGCTTTCCAGACAAGGTCTTTGCTGCACCTGAAGCTTCTCTTTCAGCTAGACTGGTTGAACTAGCAGAGCACCCCAGAATCCACCTGCCCCTGCCCCCACAGCACTGAGCTCAGAGACACACACTGCTTCACCTGGCTTTTTCATGGGTTCTGGGGATCCAAACTCAGGGCCTCGTGCTTGGATGGCAAGCCTTTTATTCCCTGGGCCGCCTCCTCGGCTCCCACAAACGGTATCTTTATGAAAGTAGAAACTAAAACAAAACAAAACAGAAAGACAAACCTAGCTAGATGTGGTGACACATACCCGTAATCCCAGCGCTCAGGAAGTCAAGGCGAGAGAACTACAAACTCAAGGCCAGCTTGGTCACAGGGGTAGTTTAGGCTAATCCGGGTAACAGTGTAAGAAACAAAAGTAGCAAGGAATTAAAAACCTTCATTCCCATGTGCCCTTAACACACACCCCTGACCGTTCTAAGTCAATACTGAGAAGGCCAGGCTCTAGGAGACACTGGGGCCTGCCAAAGGAGGCCGTGCTCCCTTTGGAGGTGAATATGGCAAGCCTCAGCTTTTCCAGGCCTTTGCCTCTGCCCCAGAGGGAATCTGCCAGCACACCCCACCTCAGCCCCACTTTGATACCATTGAAGAAATGCAGGGAGAAGGTGAAGGTGACTGCATGGTCCCCTCAGTAGGTCCTGATGGGGACAGTTAGACAGTGGGGCCCCTGTCCAGCCCTGTCGTTCCTGAATCTGCAGTGAGCAGAAATCTGCCACAATTCCCCTGTTCGACCCTGCTGTCTACTCCACAGTGGCCCTGAACTTTCAGACTCCTGGCTACGAGATGGACCTCAACACAGGGCGCTTCCTCATAAATGGGCAGTGTGGCTATGTCCTGAAACCTGCTTACCTGAGGCAACTCGACACCACCTTTGACCCCGAGTGCCCTGGACCTCCCAGAACTACTCTGACAATCCAGGTCAGTAGCCTGGTCCAAGCCTTCACCTCAGGTCAAGGCCAGCTCTGGGTAGGTACCATCTAAGGAGGAGGAGGAGGAGGAAGGAGGCCAGGAATGGGCCTGGCATGAGGGCAGCCCACTTTTCTGCATTTGTACGGGAGGGATAATGCGAGCGTGAGGACAAGACTTACAGTTTCAGAGGGGCAAGTGTGGATATGGGTCCCAGTGTGGGCCAGGCAGAGGGGGTCCTCCTTTCCTCCCTCCTGTAGGTGCTAACAGCCCAGCAGCTGCCCAAGCTGAATGCGGAGAAGCCTAACTCCATTGTGGATCCTCTGGTGCGTGTGGAGATCCACGGGGTCCCTGCGGATTGTGCCCACAAGGAGACAGACTATGTGCTCAACAATGGTGAGTGAGCGGCTGGTGGGAGGGTGGGCAGGCCCTGGGACCAGTGGGCCTTCATTACCACACCTGTCCCCTAGGCTTCAACCCCTGCTGGGCGCAGACTCTGCAGTTCCAGCTGCGGGCCCCGGAGCTGGTGCTGGTCAGGTTCGTGGTGGAGGACTATGATACCACCTCCCCCAATGATTTCGTGGGCCAGTTTACGCTGCCCCTCAACAGCCTGAAGCAAGGTAGGTGGTGGCCGGGGGGGGGGGGGGGACAACAGAACAGAGTTCCAGCCTCTTGACTTCTGGCCACCCTCCCCACAGGCTACCGCCACATCCACCTTCTTTCCAAGGATGGAGCTTCGCTGTCCCCAGCCACGCTCTTCGTTCACATCCGCATTCAGAACTCCTGAGGGTCTCACTGACTTACCCTAGGATCAGCAGGTTCTGGTATCGTGGCGCAGAACCCTCTCTGGAGCAAGGGACCATGGGAATATGGGCCCCTCGTGCCCAACCCGTCTTGGTCACCAGGTGCTAAGCGTACCTGGGTGCTGAGGGCTGTTTGGTCCCTTAGTGAGAGATGATCGGTGTCCTGTCCAGTGGCCCACTGGACTTCGGGGGCCTCCAACCCTGGGACCTTGAGGTGGTCCCAGTTCCCTTGGTCTTCAACTTGAGGAAGACATATCCTTCTGACCTCCAGCAGGGCAGTCTTAGCCTTCTTCCCTGAAGAGGGCACAGCCACCCGCATTGCCTCCTTTCAGGCATGAGTGGAGCCCCTAGAGCCTGCTTCCCTTCCTGGCCCAGGCAGATGACCTGGAAGCAGGTTTGTGCCTTGTGTCACGGAGGAGTCCTGGAGAGGGCCCAAGAGGGACTATTTTAAAAAATAAAGAAAAAATGTACCTTTCCACTCTATTCCCCAGGCCCATGGGGAGAGGGACAAACTAAAGTGAGGGCCTCCGGGGCCTCTTCTCCCAGTGGGATTTGGGTTTTGTCCAAGAAAGCTTGGGGCAGCTCCAGGAAGTGCCATGGCCTTTGGCTTAAAGCTGCTGCCAATACTAATTCATATGGTTCCTTCCTAACACACACACACACACACACACACACACACACACAGCCTTAAACAGGGAGCAGGCCCAGCAAGGTACATTTCCTACGATAAGGGGGCCCTTGTAGAAAATACCTGCAAAGCAGCAGGGTACTGCCATTGTGACACGGAGAGGGTGCCAGACACCCAATGATAGGATCTAAGCGAACAGTATGCCCCAACCTGTCAGGAAGGAGCCTTAATGGGACTGTTAGGCTGTGATGGGCAAGGGCAAAGCCATTTCCACAAGGTGGTCTGGGGTGGGGCTAGGCTGGGGTCTTGCAATAACTCTAAGCCCTGTAGAAACCAAAGCCTGAGACTAGGGCACCCTTCCTGGCACCAGAAAACCCAAGCCAGAAGTGCTGACTTCTCCCTGCTTTCTGTTCTTACGGAGGGGCCTTTGCTTATCTGATGGACTTCTGTGTTTAAAGGACTATCAAGATCCGTAGTGGCCTAGGGAGGTGGGCACTGCAGGCAGACCACAGCCCCTGAGTGGGGTCCACAGCTGAAGCCAAGTCCAGTTGGGATTGGAAAGGATCATGGGTCTGGAGGAGTGATTTCCAGGTTACAGGGCCTGGCAACCTGCCATGTTAAAAAGCACCCCTAGGGGGAGCTGGAGCTTCCAGAAGAGCGCTTGCCTCAGGCTTGAGTCCCTAGACTCAGCCCACGATACTGCAGCGTTCCTCAGCTGTGCCTGGTGGGAAAGGCCTTTAATCGCAGCTACCAGGAAGGCCGAGGCCAGCACGGGTTCAGGGCCAGTGAAATAACAGTGAAGCGAGGGCTGGTTCAGCAGATGAGGTGCTTGTTGCCAAACTGGTAACTCGAGTCCAGTCCCTGTAACCCATGTAAAAGTGAAAGCGGAGAACAGGCACCCTGTTCATCTCTCTCTCTCTCTCTCTCTCTCTCACACACACACACACACACACACACACACACACACACACACACACGAGTGTGCATACGACCCTGTGGCAGAGCCCCTGCTTAGCGTGTCCGCGGTGGCTGCCCTGCATGAGCACCAGCTCCTCTGTGGTAGGTGGCCCTGGGGGGAGAGGCTCTCCTGTCACCTCGCTCTGACCCAGGCACTAGACCTCTACCGTCTATTCCACCGCCACCTGCTGCTGACCAGAGGAATGCCAGGAAGAGACCAGACTGTTGAACGGCTTCCTTTATTAGAAACAAGTGAGATGCGCTGAGTGGAACAATGCATTTGGTATCCCTGCCCCCACCCCTGCAAGGAATGTCCCCAGCAGAGCAAAGAAAAGCCAAGACAAAAACGGGGCAGCTCACACCCCTGTCCCAGATGCAGCACTTGCCTGCCATTCAGTCAACACTTTGAGCTTAATCAATGAAACTGTCCTAAACCTCCCTCCCCCCCCCCCGGGGGCGGGGGGGGGCGGCCGTCTGTAGACCTGCCTCTACTCTGCAGTAGGACAAAACAGGTCTCTGTTCTACGGCAGGCAGACCAGGCCATGAGAGACACTTCAGTTCCCTTTCCTGACCCGAGAGTCTCTTTCTCTCTCAGACTGTAGACAGCTCCGTGAAAACTGTTCAGGACCTTTGGGGCCCCAGGTTGGTTTAGTGCTGGTCATCTTTGGAGACAGAATTCAGAACCACAAAGACACCTGCCTCTGGGCTTCAGAGAGCCAGCAAGTAAGGGGGACAAATGGTAGAAGTTTTCCACAAAAGAAAAACTGTTAGCAGAGCTTGGTGTGAGGCAACCTTCAGACACAGGCACGAGTGGGGAAAGCCAGCCCATGCAGGCCTCAATCCAGAGTTAAGGCCTTTCTACCCAGCACACTTCCTACAGACTGGAGTCTGTGGTGGCATGGAGAGTCAATCCAAAGGCAGGGAAGGAAAGGTGGTCTTCAGGACATGGCAGAGGACCGGGGCCAGGCCCATAGAGGCCTTCCCACATGGCTGCCTGTTGGAGGCCCCAGGGCCCTTCTTGTTTAGTTCAAGCCAGTCACAGGGCTGCCATACGTCATAGACTGTGGAGTAGCTGTGAACCCCATGATGGTGCTCTTTAGCCCCTAATCCCATGAGGGTTGAATGAAGACACCAGGACAGTTTGGATAAAAATAAGACTTAAAAACAACCCCTGAGCCAACTCCTGCAGACCTGGGCAGAACGCCCATCATGAGGCAGCGGCAGAAGCGAAGCAAGCCACCTGGTTTGGGGCTGGAGTTGTTGCCAGCAGATCTGTTTCTTCCAGAGCAGCTCCCTGGGGCTCACTGTTTTGTTCCTTGACTGGGGTCAATGAAACCAAAGTTCACTCCAGAGATTTGTGAACCCCAAATCTCAGAGGCAATTTGAGCTGAAAGCTGACCCACAACTGATCAAGACTAAGACGGGAAGTCTTTCCACATTCCAGGCCCGCCCAAGAAGGAAAAACTTGAGCACTTTGTTCTTTAAAAGTGTGGGCAGGATGAGCCCACTCGGGCACTTAGGGCAGTGTCTGGTGACTGAGGCTGTGGGGGAGCCCCGCCTCTCTACTCCCATCTGTAGAACTCAGTGCACATTTTTTGCCAAGAACAGCAGCTTCTTTGGTCTGAGTATCTTGGAGTCACAAGTCAGCCACCTTTGCTGGCGCTTGCAGTTCGCAGCACAGGACAGTGAAGGGAAGGAAGGTTCCTACGAGCCTCTGATGAGAATCCTCCAAGCAGAGCGTCTGCCTCTGGCAGTAGTCTACAAAGCAGGGGGCATCCCCAGCATACAACTTCCTTCAGCTGAGGCGATGCAGCATCAGCTTCTGCAGACCACCATCAGCTGCAGCCTGACGCTGACTCCCTGCTTGCCTGTAGGACAGCTTCAGTTCAAGGGACAAAGCTGAACCTGGCTCGTGGCTAAGGCTTCTTTCCCCTACAAACTCCCCCTACCCCCAAGATGCCAAAAGGTGAAAGAGCAAAGAAATTCCCCACTATATATCATTCGGGGGCTTTCTCCTAGAGCACAGGTTACGAGGAAGCTGGATGTGGCTTGCTAACAGTGCAGCCCAATCCTTCTAGGCCTCTTGGCTGAACACCACTGAAGAATGCCCACATGGGCAGCCACGTGATCAGGGACTTGGCTACTTCTGGAGAAAACTGGCAGCATCAATAAGCATCACTACCACCACAAAAATCCACATAACAGCACTGCGAATGATCAGACTGAGACTGCCAAGTCTAGATCGTCTCGAGTTACTGTGTCTTGCTGCCACCGTGGGCTGCACATCCTGGAAAGGAGATAAAGGAGCACAGGAGATGGCTGATGGGTCGGAAGGCACAGGCAGGGGCTCGAGCTGAGGGGTCTGGGCATTGCCACACCATGCCTGCCTCCCTGGGATACTCCCTCTTTGCTCTACGATGTGTTAAAAAGGGCTTGCGTTCCTGTGGTCTCCACAAGGTCCCTTGTAAACTGCCAACCATCCTAGGCAGTGAAAGTAGTCTCTCAGGGAACACACACCTGCAAGGTTGGCAACAGCCGGCTCAAAAGCCTTTTAAAATCACTTGATAGGATAGGATAAGCTCCTATGGGAGAAGGTGTAGGAAGAGGGTCTTGATTAATGAAATATATTTCCAGGATTGTCAATACTTCCTAGTCTCAGAATGCAGTAGTCTGGCCTCTGCCCGGGCCAGGCTCACCCTAGGAGCTTGTCCTGCCATTCTGGAGATCCGAGCCCTCTCCTGAGCTGGCAGTCCCTCCACCTTTCCTCCTTGCTCAAAGCCACTTGGGTAGCCAGTTCCAAAGGGGAACTGGGTGAGGCTCCCCAGATCCTCTTTCTCCTGCTCCCCTTGAGAACAGCCACCAGTTTCTGAAGAAACAACAACTGTGCCAATACATGTCTGTCTGCCACTGTCCTTGGGCTCTAATTTTGAAGAATGCCTTCTTTTTCATTAGAGACCAAACATCCTTGTACATTTGGAACATGAAAGATATTTAAAATATTTATATATATATAATATATATATACTTTTATTATTCACCCGTTAACTCCATAATATGCCAATCACGAGCTAGGTTTCAGCAGTTACATTCCCTTGATCATGGCTGCACGAGCATGTTAATTCATTGAAAACAGGTAGACCAGAAACATGGCCAAAGGTGACATCACGCAGCCTATGCCACTGCAATGTAATTGTCAAGTTCGCTGGCGGTTTGGTAAAGCCGGTTCAGTTCTGTTCTGTTTGCCAGAGATCTCACATTTGTGAAAGTTGGACCAACAAGTGGTGGGGTTCCGTTTCCTGGTTTGGATTCTCAGTGGCTTTATCCAGAATCTCACTGGCAACTGGTTACTGTAACACCAACCCAACCTAGGAGAGCCAACGGGGAAAGGTCACGTTTGAGTTGACAATATGCAGGACTTTCCTGCCTCCCTAGTCCTGCAGGTCAAGGCCACTGAGCTCAGGGAAGAATGGTTGCTGTGGAAGGAGCAGACGGTGAGCCCAGCCTCTCACTCAGCCCTTGCTGATTTACATTTCTATCAGATCCCTGAAGGACAGCAGTGGGGCAGATACTGGGCAGAGGCTTCCATCCAGCTCATGGTCAGTGCTTTGGAAACACTTGACTATTGCCATGCCTGATTGCCCTGAGGTGGGGGATGAAGAGGCAAGAAAGGGCCACACAAGAATGGCGGCCCAGGACAGGAAAGATCTGCAAACCCTAACCTCCTAGGTAACTCACAGTCCCTCAAGACCATGTGCCTGATGCTGTAAGTTGGTACTTCCAGCTACTAGGGAGGCAGAAGCAGGAGGATCTCTGCAATCTATGAAGCCATGTACATGGCATGTTGTAGGCCAAATAATGAGACATTTAATAGTGTCTCAAATTATTTTTTAAAATTTCAAGGCAGGCAGTTACCTAGCCCATGTGAGGCTGTGGGTTCACGCTCCAGAACCAGTAACAATGAAAACGGCAGTGCAGAATGCCCTGCACCGACAGACAGGCCCTCACCTGTCCATCCTCCCCTGCTCTGTGGCCCTTGGATGGAGCCTGAGCACCAACAGCTGAGGGTCTGGCCTGATGTGATGCCTCCGGGCTGTTTCAGCTTCCTGCCCAGCAGCTCATGCAGCCTCTGGCTGTGACACACGTACCTTCTCGGCCCCCATGCTAGGGCACTTCCAGTTGTACAGGTAATACTGCAGGTTGCCGTCCCCGATGCCAAACTTGAGCTTCTCCAGGAATGTTTTGTTCTCCATGAGATCCAGTGCATTGAACACATCAAACCCTTTCTGCAGTGTAGCAGGAGAAATGGCCACAGTGAGGGCAGGAAGGCCGATTCCCCTCCCTTCCCATCAGAGGCTCTAGCCACATCCTGGTTAGTAAACCCAGTTAGCGCTGAGGTCTCCCACAACAGTCCTCGGGCCACCCACAGCCAGACCTCTCCTCATGTCCCCGGGAGTAGGCCAAAACCTCCTAGACAAGTCAGCTCCTATCAGTTCCCTGACTCTGACCACTCAACTCCCAGTTCCCAGTGTGCAGACTGTATGAGTGGCTTGACAGACTGCGACAAGGACACTTGGGACAATCTCACAAACTGGCTTGATGTTCTCAGAGAGAAGGACCAGCCTGCCCACAGTGGCTGGCCTGCGTGCAGATGGGCACCAGAACCTGGAGAAGGGCGAGCAGACTGACAGACCTTCCAGTTAGCCACTCCAACCGCTCACCAGGGCAGAGCCCAGCTCCCCTCCCACGCTTGGAAAACCAAAAGAACCCCAATCCTGAGGCCGGCTGCCCCATCAGGCCCCAACCAAGCAGTTCAGTGACTCTAGCCCTCTTCTAGACTAGAGTTTGTGGCTGAAAACGGCTGGGGCCTTGCCTAAGAGCAGGAAATGAAGGACACTCGGAGGCCTCCCAGTCTCTGGATGAGCAAACTCCCAAGAGCTATGATCACTACTGTTACAAAGCGCTCCCCTCAAACCTCCTCAGACTGTCTGCTCTGCTTCTCACCATTTTGGCTAGGACAAGGGCGTCGCTCATAAGGTCTAGAAGAGGGGTCTGGGTGTGAACGTTGTAGAAGGAGTAAGCAGCTTTTAGACTCTTGTGAGTTGGATGGTTCATGATGGTGGAGGGAAGCGTATAAAAACTCAGGAAATCAGTCACCTCACCGTTGGCATTCTGAAGGGAAGCGTAAACAAAGAGGAATGTCACACAGGGAAAGGAACAGGTAGCACAGAGACCATGGCTCTCTCACACCATCTTCAGGCAGGTAAATGCTGGACACTGGGACAGGACATGCAGCGAAAGCACACTGGCTAAGGGCTCTTAGGGACTGCCAGCCTGGATGTGGGCTGAGCTACCCTGCTGGGCATGGCCACGTGGCCCACATCCTCAGACTGTGGCTTTGGTGTCTGGAGCACACTAGCCCAAGTTGAGAGAAGAAGAGAGTCAGAGGCTTGCCTGACTAAAGGGTGTGGTGCTCCCTGCTCTATATGGGGCTGGGGTGGGGCACCCAAGGTATCCTTTCAACAAATGAATGCTATGTCCCATTCTGTTGAGGACCAGACAACTACGGGAAGCCTAACACGGTAACCATAGTGATAAGGTAACCGCAGCTCTCCAGGAACCTAGCTGTTTCTTTCAGATTGGACGGCAACTCACCTCCACCACGAAAGTGTCAATGATGTTCTCCTGGGGATAGAACCAGTGCTCCACCTCCTCCTGACTCATGATGGGCGTGAGGTGAAACTGCTTCAAGTACCTGCTGAGCAACTGGTGTACTACTGGAATGTCCTTCTTTTCCATTGGTCGTAGCCCAGCTGTCTTGGGAGTCTGGAAGGATAACAGAAAAGATGGTGTGAGAGCCTATCACCCTGAACCTGCCCACATGGGCCCTCCAGAGAGAAACCGGAGTCATCCCCAGCCTCACCCCTAGTCCTCGAGGCACCTCCACTCAGCCTGCATCTGGGGATCTGCTGGCCCTTCCCTCCTTGGCAGGGCTGATGTCTGGGCAGAGGCTGTGCCATCCACTTTTTATCCATGTGGTCCTAGTCTGTCCTAAGATAATATAGGCCTACCTACTGTCCCTCTGGTCACTCTCCACAAAGCATATGGCCCGCTACCCTAGGGCCAACTGGTCACTGTAGCTGCCAAAAGAAATCAGTGGAAGGAAACCACATGCTCCTATGGAACACATGTTAGGGCTGAAGACTGTCACCAGAGGCTTAGGACACACCAGGAGGCCTGGTCCAAGTTGAAAACAGCAAGGTCACAGATGATGTGTGCCTGTCTTCAGTGTGAGGCTGGAAAGATGGCTCACTGGGTAAACATGCTTACTGGTAAGTCTAAGGACATGAGTTCAAATCCCCACAAGCCATGTAAAGGCTGGGTACAATAGTGTAATATCAATAACCCTAGTACTCCTATGGGAAGAAGAGAAGCAGGCAGTAAAATAAGCAGAATGCCTTGGGCCAACTAGCCCGGGGTACAGAGAGGAGAACAGCCAGAGACCCTACCTCAAACAAGGCTGGAGGCAGAGAATGACACTGGAGATGTTTATGCACAAAAATGCACGTGCATAAAACTTTAGTGTGGACCTCTACCTTCCAACTCCCCTGAGATCTCGCTAGGGAACGCCGACTTCATCCATCTTGGCAGTCCCCACAGTGACTTCTCAAACCCTGAAAACACACCCATACTGGGTTTCTCACCCAAATACAGAGAGGTCCAGACATTCTTTTGGATCCCAGAGCACCTGGACTATGGCTCTCTACCTTCCTGGAATGTAGGGGAAAGGTAACGGGATGACACAGGAAGAAATCTCCCACAGCCCCCAGCTAGCTAGCTAACTAACTGTCTCTGTCTCTATGAGACAAGGCCTCACGTAGCCCAGGCTGGCCTCAAACCTGGTAAGTAGCCAAGACTGGCCTTGACCTCCTGATCTTGTGGTCCTGAGTGCTGGGATCCCAAGCAGGAGACTCAGCTTTGCAAACCTGGTCTGGCAATAGGGAACTATACTGCAGCACTCTCTCAAGGCAGACAATGACCTGAGCCAGCATTAGACTCATGCCAAGGTGGTTAATCCCATGTGGATCCACAAATCCGAGCCAGCAGCCCTGCACGCAGCAAGCACTCAGCGTGGAGTGACAGCCACCGGGATGGGCTGAGGCCAGCGGAGGGAATTAAAGAGCTCACAGCTCAGGATCCTGAAGACAGGCACAACTGCAGAGTAGGACACTTGTTTCTTTGGGGAAGTAGGCAGACTGAGATCTAGAATTGAAGACCTGGTTGCTCCAGGCTGTCCAGTCCCCTCAGTGCCAATTTTGGATGTGTGGGAGGGATTAGAAATCTGGCTTATCTCATAAGCTCCATCAGCTCTCCACTACCTGTCTTGGCAGAAGGGAGTGGGCACTTGCGAGCTTACCCACACCAGTCTCTGGAGTATGTGAGATAGAGAGGGAGGTTCAGTTAGAAGATCCACTTTCTAGCTATGCTTCACTTAGGCTGAAATTACAGAGAAGCAGTGTTCTCCGAGCTCATCAGCAGACAACAGGGATGCTAAGCCAGGCAGACTCAGGAGAACCAAGGAAATGAAACAAAACTGAACCCTTGCAGACAGTAAGACACAGGGACCTGGAGGCCAGGGGCTGGCAAGTGGAAGCCTCCCCCATCCCCGCCCCGGCCGCCACCCCAGGGCACCACTGGCCTCTGGCAGTCGGTAGAGCTTCATGGTGCGCTGCATGGTCATATTCCTGCTCAGGTGGGAGAACTTCACTTCAATTAGCTTCCGAGGGTTTAGGGACCGATGCCAGTACCTGTAGGGACACAAATGTCCTGGCCTCAGAGGACTCTGGCCAATCCCATTCATTGAGAGGACAAGGGCAGGGGACCTTCAGATGGCTGCAGGGGTCATGAGGAAGCCCCTTTCTGGAGGAGCAGCCTCCTCCAGAAGGTCAGAGCTGCCATGGGCTCTCTGAGAACATTTTCTCCTGTTTTTGCATTTCAGAAGCCATTCCATTGTTAGATTCGTTGTCTGGGGAGTACAGTCCTCTCTGCTGTAATCAGGTCAGTGAGACTGACAGCAGCGCCCAGAAGACGGGCAGACAAGCTTACCCTCCTCCACCTTCCTCCTCTTCTGTGTTCACCTGGAGTTGTTATTTTTGCAGCTCTCTAGGCAGAGATTATTCAATTGTTTCAAACAACTTTCTAAGGTGGGGGTTATCCTCAGATCACACAGGGATCAGACAAGCTTCCTTTGATCCACAAAATATTCATAATGAAGCTGAGCCAAAGATTTAAAACTTGATTTTCTATGAAAACCCAGATTTGGCCTCATCCTCAAAAACAACCCCTGCCTCACTAGCAATCCTGAGCTGACAGTGTCTATTCCTTCCAGGCTCCTGAGCCGTCTTCTCTACCTGGCTCCCCCCAGCCACCCAGTCACCCACACCCCAGAAAACTGGCACAGAGCAGGCGGGGCAGTGCCATGTCATCGTGACATTGTTCCTCAGCTAGAGCCTGGCACCTGCATTCCCAAGCCCTGCAGGAAGAACTTTTTACCTGCAGGTGCCAACAGGCTTTGGCAAGAACACTCCGGCAGTGTAAACAGCTTGGAAAATACCCTCCAGGTGGACCCGTCGGGTTATCTCTCGGATCAGAACTGGAGCCACCCTCTTGGAGCGAAGCTTCTTGTGGACACACAGGAAGTTGATCTCCACCATTTTCTTCTCTCTGAAGAGGGAGGCGAAGTGAGGGCCAAGACGACTTTTTCCGGTTCAACGTGACAGGAATCTTGCCGGGTGGGCAGAGCCTCACGTGAAGGTGTGCGTTTGCTGACATCTCCACTCAGCAGTTACTACCGGGGAATCCCACCCACTCGGCTCCCACCCACGGCTAGTGTCTACCTGGCAAGCTTGCCTCGCATCCTCTACTTCAAGGCCCTAGTGGGAAGCCTTGTCAAATGCTTTTATCTTAAAGTACCGCCAGCACGTCCCCGTGGGAGCCCTATGGGTGGGCTGGGGAGTCCCACCCGCAGCAGGCAGCGAAGCAGCATTAAGAAACCTCAGCTGGGCAGTGGTGGCACACACCTTTGATCCCAGCACTTGGGAGGCAGAGGCAGGTGGATCTCTGAGTTCAAGGCCAGCCTAGAGCAAGTTCCAGGACAGCTAGGGCTACACAGAGAATCCCTCCCTGTCCCAGAAAACAAACAAACAAAAAAAGGGAATTGACCTTGAGGTCAATTCTCAGCAATCACCATCTGTAATGGGATCTGATGCCCTATGCAGGTATACATGCAATTAAAGCACTCATAAATAAATAAATAAATAAATAAATAAATAAATAAATAAATAAATCTTAAGACCAAAAATAAGTAAGTAAGTAAGTAAATAAATAAATAAAATAAAGTAAAATAAAATAAAATAAAATAAAAAACCAGAAGCAGCAGGAGGAGAAGGCAGAGGACAAGGCTGATCTTGAACTTGATACGAAGCTCAAGACAGCCTTGAACCATCAACCCTCCTGTCTCACCTCAGAAAACTACCCCAGCTTAGACTCTAAGTGTATTAATGTGCACCACTACTGACAGATATTCCAGGATTTTGATTCCCACAAGAATTTACAGCTGTAGACCCAGAAGACGGCAGCAGATGACTATGAGGCCACCTGAATCCAGGTCACACTGCCTCCTGCCCATTTCTGAAGTTGCTCAATGTGTCACAATGTGACTGGGGCAGGAAGGCCGAAATGGATGGCCTCACCATAGGTCACAGACAAGGATCCCATCTAGAACTCAGAGACCGTCTCACCTTGGCTGGCCTGAAACTTGCTATATAGATCAGGGTAGCCTTGAACTCAGAGATCCACCTGCCTCGCCACCATGTGTTGGGACTAAAGATGTGTGCCACCATGCATGTCAAAACAGGTGGTTCCCATGATGAGTTTTATTCCCAGAACACAGATGCCTCCACCTCACTGGCCCGACACCTGTTGTTCATAGGTGAATATGTAGCTTTCTTTTCCCTCCCAAATCAGCAAGATGGTGGCAAAAGGGCTGATGCTTACGTGTCATAGATGTGGATGTTTGCTGGGATGGCACTAATGAACCCAACCAGTTTCCGACTTGAGACCACTCGAACCCCGCAGTGCCACTGTGGGAGCCAACCAGGTGGCCGGAGAGCCCTGGAACAAAGATTCGGACAGGAGCTGTGGTAGGGCTTACAGCAGGCTGGAGAGCTGCGTAGCCTCCAGAGCCGTGTTCAGTTCTGACCTGGTACTAACACCTGGGGGTTACATTCTCTTATGGAACAAGACTTCCTCCATACCGAGAGAATCGAGCCACGGCCATTTCTCACAAGTATCTTTTTCTTTGTCCTGCTGGAGACAGGACAGCCTTGCACATATATTCTAGGCACATTCTTCGGGACTAAGCAACACCCCAGCCTTTATTATTATTATTTTTTTATTTTTTGACACAAGGTTCCTTGTGTACCCTGGGCTAGCCTCAAACTTATGGTCATCCTGGTTCTGCCTTATAAATACAGCCCTATGCTAGGTTCTGTTTTGTTTTTTTCTGTTTTTTTTTTTTTTTTAATTTTTTTGCTTTCTAAAAAAAAGATTTATTTATCATGTACACAGTATTCTGCCTGCATGTACACCTACACAGCAGAAGAGGGCACCAGATCCTGTTATAGATGGTTGTGAGCTACCATGTGGTTGCTGGGAATTGAACTCAGGACCTTTGAAAGAGCAGCCAGTGTTCTTAACCTCTGAGCCATCTCTCCAGCCTCTTTTTCTGGTTTTTCAAGACAGTTTTTCTGTGTAGCCTTGGCTATCCTGAACTCACTCTATAGACCAGGCTGGCCTCGAACTCACAGAGATCAGCCTGGCTCTGTCTCCCTGAGTGCTGGGAGTATAGGTGTGTGCCACCGTGCCTGGCGAGTATTTTTGTTTTTTTGGAAGAAGGCTTTTACTAGGTAGCCTCAGCTGGCCTTAACTACACAGAGATTTGCCTGTTTCTACCTCTGGAGTGCCAGTTTTATAGGAGTATGCCACCATGCCCAGTCTTCATGCTCATCTCAGAGCTTGTACTAGAGGTTCCATGCAGAAGGCCAGAGTCTTCTGGTTAGGAACTAACTGTGGAAACCCTGGGCTCTGCCACCTGCCTCTCAGCATCTCCCCTCTTTCAGCTTTTCCCTGTTCACTGGGGTGATGGCGCCCCACTTCAGCCTCACACCTCTGCCTTCTTGTTCCATGTAGCCCAAGCTGGTAGATGGCTTGTCCAGGACGGGCTGTATGTGCGCCTGCTCACTGACTGGAGAGTAAACAACATTTCTTTCAAATCTTAGGTCTCATCTGCCCTCTCCCCTTGCAAAGGTCACCACACAGTAGAGGATCTCCTCTCTTGGGCACTGCCTCTTACGCCTCCCTCAACCAGTCTATTTTAAGGAAGGTTTCCATCCTAAGCACCACTTAAAGCAAATCTCCAGATGCACCAACTCAAGAACACAGCAATTTGCCACTCGAAGGCTCTTGGGAAGGGGAAGAACTCCGGGGTGTCTTGTGGTTCTGCTGCCTGCTTTGCCCTTAAAACGAGAAGAGATCTTGCAGGGTGGAGAACAGGATATTACCAGACACTAAACCTTTGGCTCCTTTGATTTCCTAGCCTCCAGAACCACGAGAAATAAATTCCTAAGGTTTACAAGTTAAATAAAGCTATAATGAAGACACCCCTCACAACTTACCACAAAAGGAACTCTGGGGAATAATCAAATCGGAACATGTTATCATCATCTTCCACATAGTTCTCATTCAGGAGGGTGTATAGTTCTTTCAGCTGCAGAGAAATAAGAAATGCTCATTGATGCATATTGATGGCCAACTCCAATCCCCTGCAACCCCAAGCTTTAGAGAACAAGGCAAACTACCAAAGCCACCTCAAGTCTCACAGACCTGTTTGACCTGTTTCATCCCAGGCATGGCAAGGACTCTTTTAGAACAAGTACCTTTGGCTGCAATAAGACATGGAACCACTAGGGGGCAGAGTCACACTAGTACACATCTAGACCATCATCTAACTGGATTACTCTAATCCATTAGAGGAAGCTTCCTGTTTTCTGTGACCATGCTTTGAAGAAATGATTTTGGGGGCTGGTCATGAAATGACTTACTTTCAAGACATCACTGCCATTATTTTTTCATGAAATATATTCTTTTCTTATTAGGAATTTAAAAAAATGTATTTTGGTGTTTTGCCTGCATGTATGCCTGTGTGAGGGTGTCAGACAGACGTGCGCTGCCATGTGGATAGTGGAAATTGAACCCGGGTCCTCTGAAAGAGCAGCCAGTGCTCTTAGCCACTGAGCCATCTCTCCAGCCCCTCACTGCCATACTTAAAAAAAAAAAAAAGTTTGGCTTTTTTCTAGGCCAAAAGACTTTTGTCCTTTTTCTGCCTTCTCAGTTGTCTCCGTCAGCTGGTCCAAGAAGGTAAAAGCACTTACAAGTCTCATGAGTCCCTGGGACTCACACAAAGGTGGGAGAACTGACTTCACAAAGTTGCCCTCTGACCCCCCCACAGGCATGCTACGGCACACAGGTGTTTTCCCTCTTCTCTTCCAATCTTCTACCCGGTCCACCCCCCCAGCAAAAGTTAAAGAAAAAAATCTGCTCCTAATGCAGGAATGGCGGAGCTGGCAATCAACAGTCCTTGGGAGTTTGAGCTGAGAGGATCACCAGAGCGCAGAGCTGGGGGGGTGGAGGGAGGAAGAAGCTATTTACATTTTATTTTCATCATCCTTTACAGAGGAAAAAAAAAAAATTCTAAATTCCAAAATCCCTGATGTCAAAACAAGGGGATAACCAGTGTGATGATGGTGCATGCCTGCAATCTTAGCACTCAGGGAAGTGAGGCAGGACATTTGAATTTGACTCAAGTTCAAGGCCAGCCAGGGTTACATAATAAGACTCCGTCTCCAAGGGAAAAAGAAAGCGGTGGGAGAGTAAGCAGCCCAGTTGGCGGAGTGCTTGTCTACTTGCCCAGTGCGCACAGAGCTCTGGGTCCAGCCCCTAGTCCCACACAGTCAGGTGCTGGTGACACACGCCTGTAATACCAGCACATCTACTTAAAAAGCAACCCCCAAAAAAGTGCTAGGCATGCTGGTGCATCGCTGGGATCCCGGCACTTGGAGAGGAGACGGAGCTCCCTTCAAGAACACCCTGGTCTATACAGCAAGTTCCAGGCCTGCTGGCACCTCAGAGTGAGACCCTGCTCAGAAACCAAACCAAACAAGAGCCAAACATATGATGCACCCTTGCAGGCAGGCACTTGTTCCCCTTACACATACACTGAGAATAAAAACCAGGGGCTGGAGAGGTGGCTCACTGGTAAGAGTGTTTGCTGCTCTTCCCAACACCCAGATCAGGCATTCACAAGCACCTATAGCGGGAGCTGCAGCGGCCCCAGTGCCGCTGGCCCATGCGCTGTGCTGGTTAGTTCTAGACAGAGCTAGGGAGAGGGAGCGCTGAGAAAATGCCTCCATAAGGAGCAGACGGTTCCTGCCTGACTTCTCGTCAGTTGTAGAGCGTGAGCTGAGAGTTGGGAGGTGTTTTATCACAGTAACAAAAGCCCTTACTCAGACACTCACACACCCACATGCAAACTCATGTTAAGCATAATGATAATAATAAAAAGAGGCGCCTAGCTGGGGTTGAGGCTCCGTGTTCAGAGTGCATTCATGACGGGGGGGGGGGGGGGGGGTTGGTGCGGTGCTATGTATTCTAATGTTAATTATTTGCTCCCAGAGGTCTGCGTGCTCTCTTTTACAAGCAGACACTCACACACCCAAAATTACGTTCATTGTAACTCTTGCCTCCCAAATTATCCCAGATTGGATAATAAAATCAGAGGGGGGCAGAGCAAAAGATGTGTTTTTTGGGGGTCGAGAGGGAAACCACAAGAAGAGAGATGCAGGAGGGAGGAGAAAGGACAGATTGCAGAGAAGATAATAACTGTATTAGAGACTTTGCAATGTCAAAGAGAAACTGACAGCAGGGAAGTAGAGCTCTGTGTTTAGCTTTTGAATAAATTGTAAGTCTCCATGTGTGACTATTTGGGGAAAATTGCTGATAAAGGAATAACTAAGCTTTATTAATAACATAGATGAATATTAATTATTAATATTCATCAATACATTCACAAGGCCTGGACCATTATTAAAAATGAAAAAGGCACTGGGGAGCCATTAAGGAAAGGTGAGGAGGGAAGGAGAGACACCTCAGCAGCCCAGATCACAAATCAAGACAGAGAAGAAACCAGGCTGCTTCTTAGGAGGCAGAGGCAGGTGGGCAGCCTAGTCTATGTAGTGAGACCCTGGACAGCCGGGGCTACATAACAGAGAGGCCTTACCTCAAAAAAACAGAACAAAAGCAAAAACAATGACAAAGGAATGAATGAATGAATGAATGAATGAATGAATGAATGAATGAATAAATAAATAAATAAATAAATAAATAAATGAATAGATAAATAAATAAATAAATAAATGGAAAGACTCCACAATAGGGAACTTCGGAAGGACAGCTTCCAGCCTTAGGAGCATGACGCTCCCCACTGGTGGAGGAGCCTGGGGCATGCCCAGAAAGTACTGGATGGGGTTTGTTCAGCTCGCTGTGGCTCATCTCCTAAGAGACCTGTCCGGCCTGCAAGCTGGGCCTACTCACCACACCACGGTCTCCCAGGTCCAAGGCGTCCCACGTGAAGCCCTGAGGTAGGGTGTAGGGCTCTTGGCGAATGTTGTCCTTGTCAGGTTCCACAGGGCCATGGGTGTTGATTACCTCGCCTAGAAGAAGAGCACAGCCAGAGTCTACTGTCTGCCCACAGCACAGGTGAGGGGAGGCTCACTGAAAACACTCGCCGGAGGGTTGGCGATGAGGCTCAGTTGGTGGAGTGGCTGCCTGGATTGTACAAAGGCCTGGGAGTGATTCCCCGAACTAAGTAACCTGGGCAGAGTGGCGCACACCTGTAACGGCAGCACTCATGAGGCAGAAGGACCAGGAGCCAAGTCATCTCCCACTAGGCAGTGGGCTTCAGGCCAGTCTGGGCAACATGACAGCCTTGGTCCCTAGGAACCCTGCAGCTCAAGAACACTCTATGATTGGCAACTGCAATCTCTCTCCAGTCACCCCTGGTCCCTAGCTGAGGGCCAACGTACAGCAAAACCTCAAAATAATCCCTGGGATCCAAGGCGGCTCATTTGTGGAAACCCTTCTAACTCTCTCCTGGGCTCCTGAATGACAAATACTCATCCTAGCTCATCTGGCTTCCCCCTCCTGGTTGGTGTAGGGTGTCGTCACGTAGCCCAGGCACCCTTCCCTGACCTGAGGAGATTTCTAAGGTTGCACAAGGCTGCCTCTGTGTCAAGAGCAGCAACAATGTACTGGGCTCACTCCTCAATCAGGTGATGGCTCTAGGAGCCAGGCTCTCTCTCAGCCTTCTAGCCTCAGCATCCAGGCCTGTGGGCCAGCTAAGTGCCAGGTCAGGGCCTCAGTGCTGCCTTCATGCCAGGAAGTCTCCCCCTGACACAAGCCCTCCTCTGTGGGAGAGCTTGGGAGCTGAGATGAAGGGGAGGAACTGACACCAGATGGAGGAGAGGAAAGCCAGGCAGTCACGAAGTTCCCTCCCTAAACAGGCTTTGTCGTTTTCTGTTTTGTTTTGGTCCCCCCCCCCCCCAAGACAGGAGACTACTAAGTAGCCCAGGCTGGCCTTGTGCTCGCAGCAATCCTCCTGTTTTAGCCCCCATGCTGGATTACGGGTACGGACCAGACCCAAGCCCTCCAAGCACTTTTAAGCAACTATCTTCTAACTGTCCCCAGCCACTTAGTTCCATATTGGAGGAGCCCTGTTCAGCAGAGTAGCCTCCTACCCCCCTGTGCAAAGCCAAGAGCAGCCTAAGGTAGAAGACAGGTTATAAGCCCCAAAGGGACAGATGAAGCTGAGTGGGGAAAATCCTGCTCCCCTCAACCAGATAAGAAGAGAGAGTAGCTGGACAGATCTGAAGGCTCATCCAGGGCATGTGACAAATGTCACACAGACCAAACTTTTGGAAACTTGGAGTCATAACCTGCGCTTATGTAAGTCAAAGTGTGAGGGTGTCAAGAAAAATTTGGCAATAGTAAATGGTTTTGAACACACATGCCAAAAACAAATCGAAAATTAAATGATGGCTCAGAGGTTAAGAGCATTGGCTGCTGAGTTCAATTCCCAGCAACCACCTGGTGGCTCATAATCATCAATAATGAGATCTGGTGCCTCTGCTGATGTGCAGGCAGAACACTGTGTGTATAATAAATAAAAATTAAGAGAAAAGAAAGCAAATTAAGCGTGTACCAAATCTGAGGTATTCTGGGCAGGGTCATGTGACTTCACTGTCGCTTTGGCTCTGAGCACACTTGGGCATGTTGCACCGTGCAGGCCAGCAAGCTGTGAAACATCAATGAACTCTAAGGTGCCTTCGCTCAGGTCAAGGCTACTGCTGAGTAGGAGACGGCTCAGAGATTGAGCACTGCTGCTCTTCCAGACTCCGATATGTCATGCGGCTCATAACTGACCCGTAAGGCCAGGGCCAGGGGATGTGGCACATGGCACCCTCTTCTAGCCTCCGAGAGCAAACGCGTGCCTACCATACACACACAGGCACTGGCACATAAAATTTTAAACTCATTTATTTTTACGTGTATGAGTGTTTTGCCTGCACGTGTGTATATGCACCATATGTGTGCCTGACGCCAATGACGATCAGCAGAACGGGTCAGATCCCCTGGAACTGGAGTTATGGGTGGGTGCCAGCCACCACATAGTGCTTGGAACCGAACCTGGGTTCTCTGCAAGAACAAGCGTTCTTAACCGCCGAGTCATTTCTCCAGCCCTCACTAAACTAAAAACTAAGACAGGGCTGGAGAGCTGGCTCAGCAGTTGAGAGCACGGTGCTCTTCCGGAGGACCCTGCTTCAATTCCCAGTGGATCCCACTCGCTCACGCAGACATATATGTATGCTAAATGTACATAAAAATAAATAATTTTTTTAAAACTAAAACTAAATCATTCGACAAATTTTGTTTTATACTAGAGGCATATGTTGGGGGCTGGTCTGGCCACTGTGAATTCAGATGCTGAATTCTGGGCCCTGAGATCTAGTAACAGTCCAGAAGTGGGTACTGTCACACACATTGACCAATGTTGTTTAACTTTGCTCCCCAATGTCTCCGGTTGGCTAATAAAGAAGCTGGATAGCCTATAGCTAGGCAACAGAGGACAGCAGGTGGAACTTCCATTCCCAGTCTTGGGGTCTCAGGTAGGAACCACGAGGTAGGGAGACAGGAAGGAAGAGGAGGAAGAGAAAAGCGGTGGCAATTAAGAACTGACCTTATGGAGCAGAAACAGCCCAGGCAGGACCAGTATGGCATGTAAATCAGGGCACATGGCCGGAAAACAGCTAGCCTAGCTTAGATGGGCTGGAATAGATCATATCTGCCCCAGTTACTAAAGCTTATTAATAAATCAAATGTCTCTGTGTGATTTATTTGGGAACTAGAGTTTGTGAATAGAAAAACAAAAACAAAAACACAAAACTAAAATATAAAATCTCCTTACAGGTATATGCCCATGCCCAGCAGGACTTAGTTCTTTGTTGTTGTTTTGAGACAGGGTTTCTCTGTGTAGCTCTGGCTCTCCTAGAACTCAGTCTGTTGATCAGGTTGGCCTCAAACCCAGAGATGCCTCTCCAATGCGCTCAAATGCTGAGATTAAGGGCATGTGCTCCCATAGCTGGCTAGTTTCACTTTATAACTGCTGACCCTTCATAACACAGACCACTTAATATGCTCCCCATCTCTGCAGACAAATGCTGTTGGACACAGCTGTGTTTTTACTTCCTGGTGTTTGACTTGGCTCTGCCTTCCCAACCCACAATGTACTATAAGTCTTACAATGTTTCTGCAGAAGAATAGTGACAATGAAAACCTAACCGTCACTTACATTTGATGCCACAGCACGTGTTTTGTTTGCTAGAGAGATGGCCCAGCAGTTAAGTAGACATGCTGCAGAGGGCCCACATGGAGGGCCCACACTCGTTCCCAGCACAGTACTGGCTAATACCTGTTGTTTTGGGTCTGGACTCACAGGTACAGATATGTATATGTGTATCCACACACATACACATATTTTAAAAAATAATAAATATTTTAAATATAAAAAATTTTCTTCCTCAGCTACATACTTATGAAACAAGGATTGGGCCCCCAATGGTCCCAGGAGCGAACCCCACTCACTCATAAGACCTTTGTCCACAGAAGCTCTGAGGCTTCGTGCCCAGGGCAGCGGCTTCAGCCTACCAGACATTTCACACAGCAGCATGTGCAGTGTTTTCTGGAATGCTTTTGGGACTTCTGTCTGACCAATCCCTTCACAAGTCTATCATAGCATTTTTTTAGTTTAGTTTAGGTTTTTTTTTTTGGGAGGGGGGGACAGGATCTCACTATGTAACTCCAGCTGGACTGAAACTCCCCTGGTAGACCAGGCTAGCCTCAAACACAGAGATCCACTTGTTCTCTGCCTCCAGGTGCGGGAAGAAAAGGTGTGTGCCACCACTCCTAACTTCACCATGGCGCATATATATATATATATATATATATATATATATATATATATATATATAATTTTTTAATACTTTATTTCATTTTATGTGCATTAGTGTGAAGGTATCAGATCCCTTGGAATTGGGGTTACAGACAGTTGTGAACTGCCATGTGGGTGCTGGGAATTGAACCCGGGTCCTTTGGAAGAGCAGACAGTGCTTTTAACCACTGAGCCATCTCTCCGGCCCCCTCCACGAGGGCTTGTAAGGGCACCTGATGAAGCACATATGGCACTCTGGGCGTTGAGCATGGCTGTTTGAACTCAGTGAGCATGTATTAACTGAGAGAAAAGTGGACGATGCTGGAAACTCCCCCCATTCCAAAGTTCACATCTGTCTACACAGACGAAACAGTCTTTCTAAGTGGGAAGAGATACCCATGGGCAGACATGCCCACTCACCATGTACTAAGACACTGTTCTCTGTAGGTTCACTTACAAAGATGATGGACTAAAAAGAATCATTTGTTCTGTGTGTGCTGCTGTGAAATGATAAGGTCTCTGAACAATAGTCTTTTAGATGCTCCTTTTAAAGACAATCCTCTAGTAAAAACTACCAAAGAACTCGAGGACCTTATGGCCCTCCCCCACAAAACTCCCACAGAAGCTCAGCAAAGGCACATTCCTTGCTCTCACCTGGGAAAGGAAATACATACCCAATTTGGGGACTGGCTGTGTATCCCAGAACTGGTAGCTTCGCTTGCTGGCTTCCTCCATAGTTTTGGCAGGTCCCTGACCCACTGAGAACAGCTCAATGGCCTTCTGTATTTCCTGGATCCTCTCTGCTGGCAGAGAGTTCATCTGGGCAAGACAGTTGGAGAAAGAAAAGGCCCACTGTGTTATCAAGACTTCCAATTCATTGTGAGTTCAAGAGCTGGCTAGGCTATGTGTGGTGAAGCTCGCCTGTAATCCTAGGAAGCAGAGGCAGGTAAATCTCTGTGAGCTGGCTTGGTTTACACAGAGAGCTCCAGGCCAAACACAGTGAAACAGCGAAACCCTGTCTCACACACATAGACTTAGCTTGGTACAGGAGTACACATCTGTAATCCTAGCTCTCAGCAGGTAGAGACGCAGGAGGATTAGAAGTTTGAGGACAACCTTCGCTACATGAAACCCTGTATCAAAAAAAAAAAAAAAAAAAAAAAAAAAAAAAGGGTTCAGCAGGGTGCAGTGGTGCATGTCTGTAATCCCAGCACTCTGGGAGGCAGAAGCAGGCAGATCTCTGTGAGTTCAAGGCCAGCCCGGTCTACAAAGTGTGTTCAGGACATTTAAGGCGACACAGAGAAACCCTGTTGAGAAAGAAAGAAAAATTAGAGCTATAAGAGAGCCCAGAGCCCAGTTGGTAAAGTGCTTGCCACTCCAGCATGAGGGCCTGTGTTTGATCTCTAGCACCGACTTACACATATACACCTATACCCACACACAGCAAAACTGGGGGCTGGCGGTGTAGCTTAGTGATAGAGTACCTGCCTTGAATGTGCAAGACACTGGGTTCAAGCCCTAGGATCACAAAAACAGAACAGAACAAAACAAGAAAAGAAAAGAAACCTTGATTGCCTATTATCCTACAAGTTCTTCTTTAAAAATTGTGAATTAGTCAGGCATCTTCTATGTGTGTGGCGGTCAGAGTTGGACCCCACTGTGTGGGTCTAGGGGATCATAAGGCTTGGCTGCAAGGGACTTACGATCCCGGAGATCAAGAGCCACTGCTATACGCAGAGCACACACGTGCCATGTGCACCCAGAATTCTGCGTGTGCCGTGTTTGAGAATCGGGTCTAACCTGCAGAGTCTCTTAAGGTACCGTGAGCAATTTCAGCACCAAGGTCTAGGGCACAGAGGACAAACATCCCTGGGCTGCATTCCATCTTTAAATAATACAAGTGTAGATGATCTATTCCTTTACAATTACCCCAAAACTCATCAGTCATAGGAAAACATCTCCTTGTTACCTTCACAGGCTGATCCTGGGTTGAATCTGTGTCATTGCTTTTCTCTTTCTTCTTCTTCTGTTTCTTTTTCTTCTTTTTGGCTCCGGTGTCATTGGCTGGACTCAAGCCACTGTAAGACAAAGTAAACACTGATGGAGCCTCGAAAAAGAAACAACAGCAACAAAAACCAAATGCTTTCAACTACACTGACAAAAGGCCTTTCTGTAGAGCAGACCTCCGTTAATCAAGCCCACTGGCTTCAGAAGCAGACTGGAGACTCCAGTTCCCAGAAGGGGCGTTTGGAGGGCATTAGCAAGCATACCTCCCCTCTCCACTTCCGCCCCTCAGCTCCTCAGGAGACACTGTGCAAGGCAGGTCTAGGTTATGACAAAGGGCCTTTTCTGTTTTTGGTTTCACTCATTCATTCAGGCATGAACATATGCATGTACTCACTGACAGTTTCAAGCTGACCTCCAACAATGACTTAACTTTTGATCCTCCTGCTTCCACCTGGAGAGTGCTGAGCTTACAGGCATTCCTCCACCTGGTTTATGGGGCTCAAACCCAGAGCTTCTTGCATGCAAAGCAAACATTCTACCAACCAAGTCACATTCCCAGTCCTTTCTTTTTTTTTTTTTTCTAAGACAGGATTTCTGGCTCAGTACCTGGTATGTATCTTGGGCTGGCCTTGAATTTATGGCAACCCTCCTGCCTCTGCCTCCTAGGAGCTGGGGATGGCAGTTACAAGCTACCACAACCTTTTTTGAGGAGGTGAGGGGGATATGTAAAGATAAGTACCTGAATTACACATTGGGCAGCAAGACCTTAAGTGGTCAGTAATGGCAAACCCATCAAACTAGGAATCTTGGGAAAATTCAACCACAATAGTCTCACATAGCTACTTTTGCCACAGACAGATGAAAACTCTGTGTGTGGAAGTAGTAAGGGAACTTCCTCATGCTGCTTTCCCTCAGTAAGACATGGCAAAAACAGTTTCCTGGCTCCATGAACATGTCAAAATGAGGCCAGGCATGCTGTCACACCCTTGCTATTAGAGCCCTCGGGAGGCTGCAGTAAGCACACCATCAAACAGACACGGTGGTGCACATCTTCAATCTTAGCATACAGGAGGCAGAGGCAAGAAGCAGGTGGATCTCCGTGAGCTCAAAGTGAACCTTGTCTACACAGCATAGCAAGTTCCAGACCAGCAAGGGCTACATTGCAACACCTTGGCTTTACAAAAGAAAAGAAAGAAACAAAGAAAAAACAAGACATGGTGGCTCCTGAGTCCCAGGCCAGTCTGGAGGACAACACAGAAAGTTTTAGGCTAGCCTGAGCTACAGTGTAGAACACTGTTTAAATTTTTTTTTTTAATTTAAAAGAGGAAAAAATGGTACTTAAAGGTTTCAAAGTGTTTTGCGGTTATTTGAATATTAATGCCACCTTATAGCAACTGATAAGATGCTATCAATGGTGGTAAGTACACACACACAAAGAGAAAGTGTGTTATCACACACTTCCATTTCTTGGTCTGAGGCTAGCTTAGCCTGCTTACCTAGCCTGCTCCAGACAACAGGTTTTATCGCCAGTACTGGAGTAAGAAGGCGGGGAGATGGACCCGGCAGACACACACTGCTGTCTCTTTATATGCAGACTCTTCAGATTTATCTCCTGCGGATCCAGGCGACTATAAAAGGGTTATGAAACCAGGGAGCCATAGGGGCTGGCAGTTCTCTGCCTTAGACGAGCATATGGTCATCAAGTCTGGACACAAATGCACCTAATGAGTATTCTATTAATGAGACCCAGAAGGCACAGCACAGAGGGGGGACCGTGACATTCAGAGATGGAAAAGGCAAACTCCTTAAAACCAGATGCTCAGTTAATCTTCCAAGGCCACAGCAAAGAACAGGAGCCATAGTTACTCATGACCTCAGATAACTCCCTCTTAATAACTTATCTTTTTATCCAATATAGTCCCACTTAGAGCCTATCACAACTACTCTGTGGTCTTATTTCAGAGATACTCTCTTTTCAGTCTCAGGACTATGTATGGTATTTGAAAGGTTAAATAAAATCCAGTTTGTGTGTTTTATTCCAGTTTATAGAATGAATTATCAGGGTCTTGTGTATGAATTACCACCATATAAATCATTTTTATTTAATTTTTTGCAAAAAGAATAAAAAGGAGAAATGAATGCTGCATACAGATGTGGTGTCTCATCTTTGGGATCTTTGCAGGATCACTGCCGCAAGTTGAAGGTCATCCTGGTCTACATCATCCCAGGCTAGCCAGGCTACGCTGCAAGACTGTGTCTCAAAACCACCAACAAACAGCCATGAAAAGAGAATGCTGCCTGTTAGTTAACCAGCTGGGTACTTACTAAACACGACTTTACACGGTAATAAATAACCTCTCTCAAACAGAGTGCGCAAATCACTATGGAATGTATTTCTTGGCTGAGCACAGTGGCACAAGTTGGGGGGGGGGTGGCAGGAAGCTCATTAAGTTTGTGGCCATCTTGGGCTACAGCGTGAATTCCAAGCCAGCCAGTACTACATAGTGAAACTGTCAAGAAAAGAAAGATGGTCAGTCAGTCCACCTCCTCGGCTTCTTCAGAAGAGACACCCTGAATCCCATTTCTGTGGAAAGACCACAGACTATGTACTCTTGTTCTGGTTTTGGTGGTAAGCTGGTTTATTTTGTTCTGAGACAAAGTCTCTCTCTATAGGCAAGGTTGGTCTTCAATTCGAAGAGATCTTCCCGCCTCTACCTCTTAAGTACCAGGACAAAAGGTATGTACCAGCACACCTGACTTTACAGTTTTTGTTTTGTTTGTTTGCTTTTAGAGACAGGGTTTCTCTGTGTAGCCTTGGCTGTCCTGCACTCACTTTATAGACCAGGCTGGCCTTGAACTCAGAGATCTACCTGCCTCTGCCTCCCTGAGTGCGGGGATTACAGGCGTGCACCCCTACACCTGACTGTGGCTTTATGTGTTAATGTCATCATTCATTGTACTGAGGTATCAAGCCACAACTATGAGAACACGTGAGATTGCCGCGATCTTACTGACAACAGCCCCAAAAGGAAGAAAACCAATCAGGAGATACCAAAGATTCTCTAGTATCATTCAAGGCCATTATAATAACTGATTCATAAGACACCGAGTACAGAAGCGTGGAGAATGCAGCTGCCGGAAGAGCGGGAAAACGAGCAAGGTGATGCAGTCCCACCCTGCTTGGGAGGATGAGACGAGACTACCTGAACCCTGGAGTTTTGAGGCCAGGGTCTTGGTTGACTATTCCAGGGCATGTCAGGATTCAGTAAACTGAAACAGAAATTTCTCATAAATACAAGCCAGAGACTGAGCAGAGGCACACACTTATTACAGCAAACCAAAGCTTAACTTGGTCCTTTCTGTCCAAAACACAGAGCAAATGCTTGAGTGAACTCTGTCCTTGGGAGGCAGGAAGTATCTGCTATGAGAACTGAGATAGGTGTTCACACAGAAAGGCTGCTGGTCTGTATGTATAAGACTTTTGTCTGCATGTGTTTGTGTACCCCAGGCATGTGCCTGGTGCCTGTGGAAGTGAGAAGACGGTGGCAGATACCCTGGAACTGGAATGATGGATGGCTTGAACCAACATGTAGGTGTTGGGAACTGAACCAGAGCCCTCTGCAGAGCAGCAAGTGCTGTTAACCTATGAGCCATCCCACCAGCCCACTGATCGTATTGTAAAGCAAAGCTGACCAAGTTAAGTCAAGCGCACACCTTTATTCCTAGCATTTGGGAGGCAGAGGCAGGAGGATCCAGGACAGCCAGGGGTACAGAGAGAGACCCTGTCTTGGGGTGGGGGTGGGGAATATCAATCAGTAAGTAACCCAGCAAGCGTAGGATGAATTGGAAGAATGACAGATCCAGGGCAGGGAAGAAAAGCAATTAGGAAAGGATATCTTCAGAGCCGTTGAGATGGCTTAGCAAGGGAAAGTCCCTGCAGTACAAGCCAGGCACTGAATCCAACCCCAGAGATTCATGTGAGGGCGGGAGGAGAACCAGCTCAACGCTGTCTTCTGACCTACACACACACTGTGGCCATGTGTGAGCTAGGGTCTCACACTGCAGTCCAGGCTGATTTTGAACTCAGCCACTGAAGTCCTATGACTTTACGTATGAACCACCACAATCAACTAGAAATGTCTTTAAAACAAAACAAAAATGGCTTCTCTGTGCAGCCCTGGCTGTCCTGGAACTCCCTGTGTAGACCACACTGGCCTCAAACTCACAGAAATCTGGCTGCCTCTGCCTCCTGAGTGCTGGATTAAAAGACGTGCGCTACCATACCCAACAGAAACGTCATTTTAAAATAAAGGCTCTAAATTTTAAATTCAAACACACAAGAAATCTTATGGATGCTCTTGTACAAAATCAAGGCAGGAGGAGGAGATGGCAAATGAGCCTCTGTGCTTCTGAAATAGAACAGTGCCGGCTGTGTGTGGGTGGGAGGGAAGGGCAAGCTGACAGATGAGCAGAAGGAGCACACAACTTCCTGACAACACGAGTCTATAACATAGGCCCCTCTCCCTCTTACAGGATGACACACACTCAGATGTGTGTGCTAAAAACTAAAACCTATCATGGGAGAGGGGGCACTGAACCTTCACCCTTGCGAGGGATCTCACAGCAGTCTGCCTTAACCTGTTGCTTGCAGGAAACTACATGAGGCAACCTGGTCACCAACTAGCCAACCAGTACCAAGGAACAACCAACCAGAAACAAGCTACTCTCTAAAGATGCGGGGACCCCTTCCCCAATGTTACCATCTCATCTCCTAGAGTGGTGGTTCTCAACCTTCCCAGTGCTGAGACCTCTTAACGCACTTCTTCATGTTGTGGTGACCTCAAACCATAAAATCGAATCGTTGCTACTTCATAACCGTTGTTTTGTTACTGTTATGAACTGTGATGTAAATCTCTGATATCTGGGAGGTCTGATATGAGACCTGGAGGTGGAGAACCACTGCCCCACAAGGATGCATCTGGGAAGCCCCCAAAGCCATGTTATTATTTGTCTTCTCATGCCAGGCCCAGGAACGAAGCTTCAGTGTACAAGAGCAGGTGTTGGGGGTGCC